CTCCTGAGACACTGTGAGGGCCAACCCCATCCTATAAAGACAACAAACAGGGCTTCAATGAGATAATGGGTGGGAAAGTCTTGGGTGAACTGACAAATGTCCTACAAGGCTAGGTGGCATGGGAGTGGGGTCAGAACTAGTTTAATCCTTTAATCCCAGTGGTACCCTTCGCTGGCTGTGTTGTCTTGGGCAGGTCACGTGCCTTCAGCAGTTTCCTCATCTGTAAAATGGGGGTATTAATGCTACCCTGCGGGGGAGTTGAGCCCGTTAGCAATGACGTGGCTAACAGAGGTAGTACAGCCGCAGAGTGATTAGAAGACTCAGTAATACCAGGTGTCTGTTTCCTCATCTGTCAAACAGGGACCAGGCCGAGGCAATCGGCACGGTCCTTGAAGCCTGCCTTGCTCTGTCTTCAGGACTCTGCTCCGCCTTTCTATAGCGTCACCTTCTGCAGCGTCACCTTCCGCTGCCTGAGGGCCTGGGGCTTACCTTTGCACGACTGGGAGCAAGCCCTGGCTACCAGAGCCTCTTAGATTTCTGGGTAAGGAGAGGGCCTGGCGCACATGGGCTTACTATGTGCCAGGCCCCGTGCCAGGCGTTTTATACAGGCTATCTCATTTAAACTTCACAGGGGGTGCCCAGGGTCAGATAGTATCATCCCCAACTAATGTAGTTGAGGAAACTAAGGCAAAGGGTGTTTATCTTCATCCCATAGTCAGGATGTAATATACTGGTACCTAGAATTTGGACTGTGTGTGTTTGACTCTCAAACCCATTCTTCCCATCACACAATCTGCTTCTACCTGGATTTATCGGCTTCCTTGTTAAACACACACCCGCATATGCACACTTGCACACACAACACATGCACACTTGCACACATGGCNCGTTCCACTAGCCGTCAGCTCCTGGACGGCAGGGACCCTGCCCACCTTCCTCACACTCGCCCTTGGCCCTCGGAGCCTGGCACACAGCGGAGTCTCTATGTGCATTTGTCCAATCAGTGAGCTCTTGGACCCGTTTTGGGATCTCATGTACCTGCGCACTGTGAAGTTGTAACTATAAAGCCATTGTCTTATCCTTACCGTCATTTCTATGTTTATCTTTTCTAGCTAAGTGTCCTGAAGGGAGCTATTTTCAGGATGAGCAATGTATTGCCTGTCCTGTTGGATTCTACCAAGAACGAGCAGGGAGCTTGAGCTGTGTCCCATGTCCCAAGGGCAGAACGACCATCTCGGCTGGAGCTTTCAGCCAGACTCACTGTAAGTCCCGCAGGGTCCTGCTTTGACATGGAAACCCTACAGTGCAATGGGGGCACAGCAGGGTGTCTCAGCCTCGGCACTATTGACATTTTGGGGACAGATAATTCTTCATTTTGCAGGGGTGGTCCCATGGATGGCAGAATGTTTATTTATAATAGCATCACTGGCCTGTACCTATTAGATTCCAGTAGCACACCCTGCCTCCACCAAGTTGTGACAACAAAACGTGTCATTTGGATGAGGGACAAAATTGCCTACCACCGAGAACCACTGGGCACACAGCACAGTAATCAAAGGGGCCTCCATGTTTGCGTGCCTCTACCCTGTGGGCGGGATCTAGGCCATGCATTTCACTTAATCCTCCTAGCTCCCCTCCTAGGGTAAATATGATAAACCTAACTTTTACAGGTAAGACTCAGAGATGTAATGCAGCCAAAGTCACTCAGCTTGTAAGTGACATAGCTGGCCTTTGATCTTGGCATTGGCTGATTCCGAAACTTCTGATTTTTGGTAAGCCAACTTTATCAGATTGAGAAACGGAAAACATTTTCCACCTCTAGTTATCACTGCGGTGCGGCTCACATTCCCTTTGCCCCAAACATTTGTCAGGACTGCGTGTACCTGTGGCCTTCCCAGATGTCATGTGATTTCACTTGGCTTACTTACTTCATCGTCACCTGAGTACTGTAGGGGTTTTCCTAGCAAGAACCCATAACTTCCCTTGTTGTGCGTCTTTTCATGTTCGCCCGAAATGGTGTCAACAAGAGGCAAACTGCGATTGCTTAAAATCTAAATACTGTCTAGAATTTTAGAATAATTAATCAGAAGACATCAAGTCCCTTCTCTGATGAAGGCCGTTTCCTTGGTCAGGACAGCAGTGGAAGTAGGGTGGTAATTCCAAGAAAGTAAAAATAGGAGGCATTTTATAGGCCAGGAGTCTGACGTTCCTCCTGGAGATGACACTCTTCACCCAGAACCAAGGGCGTTCTTAATATCTGGGCATCGCCCTCAATTTGTCCACGTTGACTCCAGCCCCTGCGGTCTGAGATGACGTGAAGTGTTGTCACACTCCCGGAGGAATGCTTTCTTAATGGGGGACCCATGCAAGCTACTATCCTGGTATATGGAGAGGGTGCTACAGAAACGGCAGGGGACAGAGGAAGAGGCTGAGGCTCCGCATGAGCCAGACCCACTTCCATCCCGGATCTCTACGGGCACTGTGACCTAGGCCAACTCAGGAACAGCCAGAGGGAAGAGATACTTAGAGCAGGGTGTAGGGACAGGGCACGGAGCTTCCATGCCTCTCCAGGGTGGGGACTGTCCCCAGATGTCCATGTGGTCACCAACGTGGAATCTCTCTGAAATGTCCTTCTAGGTTTTTATGGAGGCTTCATTACATAGTCATGATTGAGTAAATCATTGGCTGTTGGTGATGGATTCAACCTCCAGCCCCTCTCCCCTTCCAGAGGTCAGGGGATGGGGCTGAAAATTCCAATTCTCTAATCACCTTGGTTCCCCTGGCAACCAGCCCTAAGTGCTGCCCCAAAGCCACTCATTAACATAATAAAAGACACCATTATGGCGTTTATCCCTTTGGAAATTCCAAAAGTTTTAGGAGCTCTGTGCCAGAAACCGGGACAAAGAAGACACATGCATTTCTTATTATAAATCACAATATCACAGGGGGTAGGTAGCTTGTATTATGTGTCAGACACTGTGATACAATAGGGAAGAAAACCCATCAGGCCCCTGCCTGCTTGGAGCTTGTTCTATTGAGTGGGAGGCAGACAGGCATCAACCGTTCACTCACCCAGACGAGGCTCCCTGCTGTGGGGAGAGGTGTGGGATTGATAGGAGAATGTGTAACAGTGGGAAGTCAGGGGCTGGGGGCTTCCCTGAGGAAACAGGATTGAAATGAAAGCTGATGAACTAACTGCCAAGAGCTAACGGATGGAGGCCTGGGGAGAACGGTGCACCAGGGGAAGAACCAGCTGAGCTGAGCGTGCATTTGAGCAAATGGTATCAGGGAAGGGGTGGGTGTACTCCTCACGGTGAATGCAGAGGACAGGGAAGCACAGGGCGCATGTGCCCAGTTAGATAAGTGGGGCCGGGGCCTTAGTGGTCCCAAAGAAAGCCTGGACATCGTCATTCGGTCAGGGTGGGGACAGGAAGAGTGCTAAGCGAGGGAGTGTCTGGCTCAGTGTGTGACTTGAGGACTGGGAGCCCGGGCGTCTGGAAGGGAGGGGACCTCAGAGACATGTCATCGATTGTTGTGTCCTCTTGGTTCCAGGTGTCACTGACTGTCAGAGGAATGAGATGGGCCTGCAGTGTGACCAGGACGGCCAGTACCGAGCCAGCCAGAGGGACAGGGACAGTGGGAAGGCCTTCTGTGTGGACGGCGAGGGGCAGAGGCTGCTGTGGTCAGAAACGGAGGCCCCGCTTGTGGACGCCCAGTGTCTGAGTATGTGCAGGCCCTTCGATCAGCCACGTTACTGGGGAGGGGGGACGTGTTCTTAAGGGCTTTCCAGAAAGGGAGAGGCGTGAGAGATGCATTTGTCTCCAACTTTTTATTTTGGAAAGTTTTAATCTCTGTAGGAGCTGAAAGGACAGCAGGATGAACACACATTGTCATGTGGCTCCA